CGTACGATCATAGATAGAAATTGTTCAAGAACATAAATCGAAAAAAATCGATATGTATATAATCAATCAATCGATAAAAATCGATACAAAAATTTAGTGYGAGTTCGATTTTTAACGATTGATCGATACAATCGATATCAATCAAATCAGCGGTATCGATTGTTATCGATTTATCGATTGGCAAAATCATCTTACTCAGGGTTTATAGAAAGGTTATTGTAAATTTGTTTSCTCATAGTAATCAGTGTTTTGATTTAAAAATGATGACAAATAAACCCAAATCCCTACTAGGACATCACACTCATTAGCATACTGGACGTATAAACCTTGATATCTCCAAGATGCATCACTCAAATCAAATAAAAATATTTCACCATTCGACTTTTCACTTCATGTAGAATCAGTGCTGAAAATATTGAGTTATAGGCTCTTTAATGAGACACTTGTGTGGGGAAAAGAGGGATAACTGAAAAAGGAAGGCTCGGCTAGTTTAAATCATTAGTGGTTGAAGAAACAAAACAAGTTATATGATATAATGAAAACCGGATACCAGAAACACACTTTAGATCTCTTTACCTTTTTCGTTTAGAAGTAAAGTGTTCTGAGGAGCTCTAACAGACTACAGACTACCAATTTTGTATTACCACAATGTTAGCAGTGTCAGTCGAGTAATCCTGCTCGACAACGCTTTAGGACGCTTGTTCCATAGCCTCAATACCTTCGACCGGCCTAGTAACGTATTGTGGGTACTTAGAGAATAGTTATCCGTGATATCAAAGTCTGTAGTGTTCAATAAAGTCGTAAAGACTGTAATGGTCGCCCCACAGTATATGCAGTTTGATATCGATAGCTCATGTAGTAATATAAAGGCTTTCAGCTATGCTTGTTGCGTGGCATTGATCAGCTGATCAAAGAGAATGTCAGCTTTCTTTTATGAAAATATTGTCAGTGCTTTAAGCAGGGCAAAGCTGTGCAATAAAGAGATGGCAAGATGTTGTTTAGAGATTAAAACCCTATCATTAGGCAGATTACGATTCCCGCCTTTCCTTCCCTCAAACGGCAAACGTGACCACGTTTTCATCGTTTCCCTACAATTCACTTTACTTTTTGCAAACCTTCTCGACAAAGACAAGTATTCTTTTGTTTATCTACTACTTGGAGTTTTTTGCGATTCCTTTTCACTAATTTTAAATAATTTTTTAATGGTAAAATGACGTTTCATGTTTGCCGTAAACGAGAATCTTAAACTCTTTATTATGTGTACTAAAAAGATATAACTAGCTAAAAACTAGTGTGAGCTGCGTCGGTGTTTCTAATGAAACAATTATGATGAAAAGGTAAAATTAATTAATTTCTTTCTTTGAATACGTTTTTCTCGTAAAATTCTCTCTAAGATATTCATTGTTTCCTTGTCAACAAACCTTTCTCGTTAAGCTGTTACATAAACCGAAACAAATATCGTTAACATCTACTTTTTCCTAAATGTATGACTCGTCTTTCTATGTAATTTGCCATTAATGAAGTTTTTTTTTCAAATTTTTGATTATTTTTATTGTAATTCTTAGAATAAAAGCTAAATTCGAATAGTTTCGATTGCATAGGTTTGAGCTTCTTTTTTTAACGGTCTTTCTTTGGCACTTGGAATTTCAACAATATTAAGACCATGTTTGTTTTTTTTTGATCATCTGACATATTAATTGCGATTTTTTTTAAAAAAAAAAGGTTCATTTAAATCATAGGAAGAGACCAAAAACAACTTTTTTTWAAAATTTAAACATATTTACTCTCTAGGTTCTCTCCAAGAGCTAGGCTCATCGTGGGAGATTACACAGTTAACAGTAATTACAAGGTTTCTGGAGTTTTAGGAGATAGAAAAAAWAAATAAATAAATAGGTTTAACATATTAACACAAAAAACACATATATATAGAAAAGTACAACGGAGATTACATCGTGGGAAATTACATGTAATGATTAGAAAGGAAAAAAAGCGTATATTTATAGAAAAAGTACAACGGAAAAGAAAATATATCTACAAAATCAAGTAAGTTTTCTTTACTCTAAATCTTTTGGTGTCTGCCAAATATTGTTGGACACTCAAGAACAATTTTTGATTTTGCTTAAAAGTTAAATGTGGAGAACCACATAGAAAAAAGTTTACTTTATCAGACTTGGAAGCATTGTTTTCATCATAATGGGCATTAAAATCACCCATCAATACTATAAAATCCTTAGATCTTTGTCTAATGATATCAAAAGTGGTTTGCAAACACAGACTATGGCATCCGTGGACAAACGACTAATTTGCTTAAAATTAGCGGCGATGTGAACTATTTTTAGCGGTGAAATAAACAAAATCTAGCGGTGATATGGGATTTAGAGTTGAGTTTCTGCGGTATACATATTTTAAAATAGTCGGAGGTCACATTGGTTCTTATTACATAGTAAAATATTGACATATGTAAATCTGTTTGTCATTGCGAGTTAATAAATGGTGGTTATTAGTGGTCGTATCAGGAATATCAAACATGTACGCATATGTTTTATGGTATTAAAAACATTCCCGGGCTTAGAAACCACCAAGATATATTTGTAGTGTAATTGTTTGGTACCCTCGACATAGTACCCTCGACCCTCGACCAAATACCCTCGAACCTCGACACTCGACCAAAAGACAGATGATAAACGTGATGGTATTTCAATTAACAGCGGATTAGGAATTATTTCCGCTGCCGTCAATCAAACCTAATTAGTCGGTACCTTTTAACCTTACATGTCTTAAACTATAATACTTTTTTTGATACAGTCATTGATTTTGTTACTTCCAGCTTGTTCCAGCCATCATACAGTATGCAGGACGACACGTCAGAGGCAGTGATATATTTGGGCAAAACCAGACTCCACTATCCTTGACCAGGAGAATACTCAAGGGACTTAAGGTATATAATATACGGTATCGCTCCATCCTATATAAGTGATATTCTCAAAATACACCAACCTACTCGAAAGCTAAGGAGTGCCACACAAGGAGTAATTTTAAAACAATCTCCATATCGTACTAAGTCATATGGTGCGCGTAGCTTTGCCGTAGCAGCGCCCAGACTATGGAACCGTTTACCACCAGATATAAAAACATCGCAGTCTTTGGAAATATTCAAGAGAAAACTAAAAACATTTTTGTTCAATTTGTAACTTTAATCTACTTTGTCACTTAACAATTTCATCGTAATATTTGTAAAGCGCATTGAAAATCTATAATGCGCTATATAAGAACATATTTATTATTATTATTATTATTAAGTCAAAGCCATGTGTCACATTCCTTGAGTATTACTTCTTTTTTTTATCAGAGAAGAAATTTGATCCCATTCATTGAGTACTATTTCTTTCTTTTTGTGACAGACTAGATATTCGACTCGAAGGCCCATTTCTTGTGTATTATTTCTTTCTTTTCTGTATCAGACTATATTTGAGGCCATGGTCCCATTCATTGAGTACTA